TATATATATATTCATGTATATATATATATATATATATACATGTATATATATATATATACATACATATATATATATATATATATATATATATATATATATATATATATATATATATATATATATATATATGTATATATATATATACATGTATATATATATATATATATATATATATATATATATATATATATATATATATATATATATATATATATATATATATATATATATATATATTCACTCTACCAACTTTCTCTTTGTTCATACAAACAAAGAGAAAGACTGCACTCTTCTTGATGTTATTTCTGATCACATTGACCAAGCCCTCTCTCTTTATCCATCAACCAATATTGTTGTTGTCGGTGACTTTAACGTTCATCACACTGGATGGCTTGGCTCTAGTGTCAGTGACTCTGCAGGCATTAAGGCCCACAACTTTTGCCTTTCTCAATCCCTAACTCAAATAGTCAACTTTCCAACTCGCTTTCCAGACAACCCGAATCATTTACCTTCTCTACTCAACTTATGTCTTGTTTCTGATCCTAGTCAGTGCTCAGTTTCTCCACACTCACCCTGAGGTGCTTCGGACCATGGTTTGGTCTCTCTAAAACTATTATCTCATTCTTCTTTATCATCAGAATCCTCCTATCATCGTACATCTTACAACTACTCTAAAGCTGACTGGGACTATTTTTGTGATTTTCTTTGTGATGGCCCCTGGGTAGAAATCTTTCGTCTTCCTGTTGACAAATGTGCTTCTTACATAACTTCGTGGATTCAGGCTGGCATGGAATCCTTTATTCCCTCTCGATGATTCCATGTCAAACCTCACTCTTCTCCATGGTTTTCCTCGCATTGTGCTACTGCAATTGCCAACCGAAACCATTATTTCCATATCTATCAGCAAAACAATTCTCCAGAAAACAGATGTCTGTTTATTACTGCTAGGAACCATTGTAAAAAGGTTTTGTCTAACGCCAAAGCCCGCTATTCTCAGATCATGAAATCTTGTATTTCATCACAAAAACTAGGCTCTTGTGACTTCTGGAGAATCTTTAATAGTATCAATAATAAGGGCAAGACTGTAATTCTACCTCTTTTGTATGGTTCAGACTTTGTCACCTCACTTAAAGACAAAGCTGAATTGTTCGCTAAGAACTTTTCATCAATATCATCTCTTGATTCCACTAGTTGCATTCTACCTGATATAGCCGTCAAACAGGCTGATTCATTGCTTAACATTCGTATCACTCCAGCTTCTGTATCTAAAGTGATTTCCTGCTCAGACTCTTCTACAGCCTGTGGCACAGACAACATACCTGTTATAGTCTTGCAGAAGTGTTCTCCGGAGCTGTCATCTATCCTTTCAAAACTATTTAACAAGTGCTTATCAGAGTCTTGTTTTCCAGCCTGCTGGAAAGCAGCATCTGTTATCCCTATCTTTAAAAATTCTGGAGAGCAATTCGATTTGTCTAACTATCGCCCCATTAGTCTTCTTCCTATCATAAGCAAGGTGTTCGAATCTTTAATTAACAAACACTTAATCTCTCATCTTGAATCTCATAACCTACTTTCTGATCATCAATATGGATTTCGATCTTCTTGTTCTACGGCTGATTTGCTAACAGTAACAACCGATAGGTTTTATCGTGCATTAGATAAAGGTTGCGAGGTTAAGGCCATCGCTCTTGACATTTCTAAAGCATTTGATAGTTTGGCATGCTGGCCTTCTCCTTAAGCTTTCTTCTGAGAGTGTATCTGGAAACATCTTTAGATTATTGAATCCTTCCTTTCCAATCGTAGTATTAAAGTTGTCCTTGATGGAGAGCACTCTTCTTATTCTGTAACCTCAGGGGTTCCTCAAGGTTCAATCCTTGGCCCTATACTCTTTTTAATTTACGTTAACAATATTCCAGACATTCTGACATCTAAGGTGGCATTGTTCGCTGATGATACTACCATTTATTCTTGTCACGATAAGAAGCCAACTCTCTCTGATTGCTTGCAGGGGGCATTTGAGCTTAAAAAGGATCTCACTTCTGCTACAGCATGGGGCTCACAGTGGCTGGTGAACTTTTTCAGATTCAGATAAAACTCAATTTTTTTTTCAAAAATTCAGATAAAACTCAATTTTTTCAGCCAACCGTTATCGCAATAATTCAGACCTTCCTATATTTATGAATGGTAATGTTCATCAACAAACACTCATCAGAAATAAATGATCAAATTAATAAAACTTCAATTTATACCAAAAAATTAAATTACAGGAAGTCGCAAATGTTTTAACTACTGTAAATTTTCACACATTTGTGGAATTTGCTGACACTATTATAAAAAGAATTCTTTAGACATGATTACTTTTTTTAAAAATAATTTTAAAAAGGGGGGATTTAATATAACTATTATTTGATTTCACTTATTTTTATAGTTTTTTAGGAGAAACTTATTTTCGTGCCTGCATTTAGAAATCAATTCCGATTTTTTGTTGAACGAACATTATTGGTTTGCATGTGTAATTATTTGAAATTTTTCTTGTAGACATAGTATGCATTTTTTGGAAATATTGTTGTATGCAGGCGCTGTTTTAAGGATGGACCAATTCAGTATAAAATCATCAATTTTTTTATCTTTTAGTTCCCATATATATTTTGACAGCATGGTGTTTTTTATTTTTAATTTTTATTTTCAAAATACTTTTTATTTTTAAAAGATTACTTATGATTAGCAAAACTTTTTTTTTCCATTCACCCTCTGTTATGCCAATATATTGTTTATCGGGTATATTCTAAGAGGAAACAACACATTTATATACCACACTTTTTGATAAACAACTCATTGGAAAATTGTTTTTTTGTTTACAATTACAATTTTCTATAGTTTTTTCATTTAGGATTTCTTTTTTATTTAAAAAAGCATTATTGTGACCTTTTATAATTCTTTCCATATTTTTTGTGCAACTGTAGCTAACTTTAATTGTATTTCGATTAAAAATTTTATGTAATTTATTTGAGGGAGGGAAGTGCTTATCGACCAATTTTAAAAACACTTTTCCTATGTTAGTGGAAACATTTTTGCTATATGGGGGGTTGAACCAAATTATATTTCTAGTTCTATTCCGCTTTTTTTTATTCTTTTTTTCAGGGTCAAATTTTAGTTCAAAATTTTCAAAACCACTTTTTTTAAGGGCATCTTCAATTATTCATTTGGAGGAATTAAATACATTTTCATTAGAGGAGTTTTGGTTTAACCTGTTATTAATTGAAATCGCAATTTGTTTTAGAATTTGAGGTGGATGATTTGAGTTAATATTAATATACAACAATTCATCGTTTGGTTTTACACTTTTTTAAAACTATGATGGATCCTTGTCTGAAACACAAACTGTAGAAGTGTTTAATTGAGAATTAACTTTAGGATTGGAAGTCAGAGTGATTTGGATGTTTAACAATAGGTTAATTTATTTAACTGGTATGACAGGAACAATTAGATTCAAGAGTCACGTTAAAGGAAAAGTTCTTTCCGAATAAGTCTACCCTATTCTAGGAAGAAATAAAAAGACCAGACACATGAAAAGATGTGCATTTATGAATACATAATATGGAGGTAAACATATATGTTTGCTATTTACTTAGATTCTGGCATACAATATTCTGACATATTCATATAAACTTTAATATTATATTGGTATTGTAATAAAAGAGAAGATGGTCAGATGGATGTAGTGTGACTCTAACAAGACAAGAAAAGGAGACATAATCTTAGACAGATTAGAAAAAACGTTGTACCGAACAACATTTGTTAATGTAAATTAAAGTGATTGAGATATCAGCATGTAGAAAGGTAGCAGCATCAGGATTAAATAATAGTGGTAGAAGTGAAAAAATTTGAAGAGAGTGCCTTACATATTGTATGAATGAGCTTTAGTTTGTTTATATTAGAGAAACAGCATAAATAAAGAAGGCTAAAGCTTAATGATGATAATGATGATGATCATGATGACGGTAATGATTATGATGATCATGTTTATCATAATAATGATTATTTATGGCCCTGGTCAAATTTCAACCCTGGTCACTCACTACGTCCTGGGCATTTTTGTTTCATTTGTGACACAGCACGCATTTGTTAAATGTTACATCTAATTGTTTTAACTATAGTTATGTAAATCAATTGTTTTAATAATAAATCAAAACAATGATAACAACCTGATTTAAAAAAAAACAGTATATTAAAAAACACAAAGCTATAAACAGGAAATAGTAAATACATAAATAAATACTATTTAAAAACTAAAAACAAACTGTCTGAATATTTATATTTTAAAGAAGAAATTTTTCCAGGATTATTTTAGAATAACTAAAAAAATTCAGGACTTCTTATGACTAATTTCAAGTTCAAGAATTTGAAAGTTTTCCTTAAAAAAATGCTATATGACTATAGTAAACATGTTCTACATAAAAAATTAAAGAACAACTTTGTAAATTTTACATTGATGGGGAAATATTTTAATGTTTATGGATGCCATCATATTACAGATATATATCTGAGCAAACTGCGTGTAAATGATATGTATTTATGTTTTAAGACTATGGTTTAATATTTATACTTTATAAAATGATATTTTATAGCTTTTTGATTTTTTTTTTTTAAATCTATTTTTAAAATTAAATTATAAAAAAATTCAGAAAATTTTAATAACTTTTTTCATTTGATATTTAATTTTCAAGTCTAATCTTTTTCGTTTTTTCTTTTATTAGTTTAGTGTATTGCTTGATTTAAACTATCTATTTAAAAATATATATTAGTTGACCAACTGATGATTACTGAAGATATTTAACATTTTATATATTACAAACAAACAAATCACATGAAACGATGAAAAATGAACTTATACAATTTAAAACAACATCTTTATATCAATTTAAGTAAAATAGTGGAAAAATTTAATGAACAAATGATAATTTCTTGATTAAATTTTTCAAATAAAAACACACACTTACGTATATTTAAATTTGTTTGTCGATTGGACGTTGAGAACATTGTAGATGTCATTTTTCTATATTTTGACTTCTCGCGCCGGATTGTATTTATTAAGTTTGGGACTTAAAACAGAACGGGGTTAAGTCAATAACAAAAAAAAAAAAAGGTTTAAAAAAAGTGTTTAAAATGGTTTAGTCCGGAAAAAATAATACAAATTTATATTATTTGTTTATAAACAGAATAAAACGATAGTTTCTTAGTGATTTCTTAGTGTATTTATTAAGTTTGGGACTTAAAACAGAACGGGGTTAAGCCAATAACAAAAAAAAAAAAAGGTTTAAAAAAAGTGTTTAAAATGGTTTAGTCCGGAAAAAATAATACAAATTTATATTATTTGTTTATAAACAGAATAAAACGATAGTTTCTTAGTGATTTCATTTTTAGTATTTTACTTTCCTTATTTTTATGCTGCTTTTAATGGGTAGGTACAATCGGCAGAGCAGAGCAGATTGGCAGTGCAGATCATTGAAATGTTAATAACGGCAGAGCAGATTATTCAATTAGCCGTTTCCTAATGTGTGATCTGCCAAATAATTCGGCAAATCATATAATAGAATTTTTATAATGTGATTGCCAAATATTTTTATGAAAAACGATGCACTTCGAATAGAAAGAACTATGAGTTGACTTTTTAATATTTCAGCAGATCATAATGCAACCGGCAGAGCAGATTGGCAGAGCAGATCATTGTAATAATAATAACGGCAGAGCAGATTATCACAGACAGACAATCAGCCGCTTTCTATTTTGTGATCTGCAAAATTATATTTTATTAATGCGTGATCTGCCAAATAATATTTGAATAATGTGTGATCTGCAAAATAATATGCGGCTGATTACACATAAGAAAACGGCTGATTGGATAATCTGCTCTGCCGCTATCAACATTACAATGATCTGCTCTGCCAATCTGCTCTGCTCTGCCGATTGTATCTACCCGCTTTTAATATTTATATATATATATAAATATATAAATAAATAAATATATATATATATATATATAATATATATATATATATATATATATATATTTATATATTTATATATTTATATATATATAACATGGGCGCCGGCAGGGGGTACAAGTAATTGTACCCCCTGCCGGCGGGTAATAAACTTTTTTTTCAAAAGCTAGGAGGGGGGGGGCACATGGAGAAAGAAAAAAAAAATTAATTAATAATAAAAAAAAACGCGAAAAAATAGTTTTTATTTTAAATTTTTAAATTACAATTAGACATTCACATTTTACTACTTACAACTATACATAAACAGTCATTCACTTTGTTTCTAAAAGAGCAACTCAACTATCTTTTTTGTTGTCCAAACTCGTCTACAACTTTGTCATGCCAATCTTGAGTGCCTCGGAAACAGCCGGATAAAACTTTGTAGCCTCTTCAATTAAACTCATGCAATTGGTGATTTAGTTTGCAATGGTTTTTATTTTTTCACATCTCATACCATGTGGTAACGTCAGATATAAAGTTTGGAAGAATATCACCATACAGACTGTTAATGACTTCCAGAACTGTTAAAAACGATAACTTGTCCAATTTACTCATTTCTTTTGGGTGAAGTTGTAAAAGTGAAAATGCTTTTCTTTCTCTTGTGTAGAAGAATACCGAATTTGTAGAGAAGATATTATAGAATCCAAATAAGGAATGAAAATTTTCTGCGTTTTCAGAACGTAAATTCGATCTGTGAACTTGCCTTTTATTTAACCGTGGCTGTTTTAATTCAATGTCTAATTCTTCACAAATCCATTGTGCTATTTTGAAAATCAATGAAAACTTTTCAGAAACATTGTCTTGATGGGATTGCAGCACATCTGTTAATTGAATTATATGAGCAGTTACATCTTTAATGTTTATATCTACTTGCTGCAACTGATTGCACACAGGTTCAAGTTTAGCCGAATAATTAGCAATTACTAAAAGCATCAAAATGTAAGTTGGATTTGTGATAGCAGTGAACAGCAAATGAGCCTTAACCTTTATATTTTTGTTCGCACTGTCCTCTGTAAGCTTTTCTAGCGCTTGGACAATCACCAAAAAGTTCTCCAAAAATATTCGGATACTTTTATACTTTGCCGATCAACGTGTTTCACAAAACAGAGGAATATTAGGAATCAAAGATCGTCATAAAGTGCTCTATCTAAAAAAGTTGATTACTTCCTTAGTTGTGCCACTGGTATTTCGAACTTCTTTAACATTGTTCAAGTCATTAATGACGAAATTCAATATATGACTAGCACAATGAAAATACAAAGTCTTAGGGTGCTTGTCTCTGATAAGCTTCTGAACACCACCTTCTTTACCATCATAGAACAACCGTCATAATCTTGACCGACAAGTCGCGACAAATCTAAATTACAACCATTCAGAAACTGAAGGATTGCTTCTGAGATGGACACTGCATCCAATTTTGTCAGCGAAGTATAACCCAGAAATTCTTTGCACACTGTCAACTGCCCCTTGCCTTCAACGCAACGCAAATATTGCACACCAATGGATAGTTGGTCTCTTCCACTGCAGTCTCATCAGCCAACACAAAAAAAACGGATGCTTTTTTAACCTCGCAGATTATCTGTTCTTTAAGAATATTTGTACAGGTTTGGATCAGCTCATTTTGAATCTGATGGGATATGTACAACGCATTTTTTGGACCAGATTCCGAATGATTTTTTAAAACCTGATTACCCGATTAAATTTGAAAATGCAACATATCTGTAAAGACAGAACCTTGATCATTTTTTCTCCAAAGGGGAAGCTCATGTTCAGCAATAAATGAAACTGTTAAAGTAATTGATCGAAGCTTGTCTCTATTTTTTTCAATTTTTCTGTGGTATGCTGAATCCAGAATTTTAAGAATACTGAGTTGTTGTTTTTTTCATTATATTCTAAAACTGGATGGAAGAAGCTATTGCATTGATGTGCCATTGGGTCTTGGCGTGAGATTGTACAACTTCATGAAATTTGTGAAATTTAAGACACGGGGTAGGGATAAATTGTTGCAGACCACGTTGAACTAAAATACAAACTTGATAAAATGATCCTCTTGCACTGGCTGAATATGCTACCACAGATATGTCTGGAGCCATTCCAATCTAAAGAGAAGTTGAGCTTCAGGGTTTGCATCTTTCTTGAAATCATATATTTGACTAGGAGTCCAACATTCCTCCAGCAGCTTCAGATGAAGTTCGTCATCAATATGACAGTTGGTGTTCGTGCACAAATCGATATCGATGCGATTGGGATTTACATCCAACAAAGTTTCATCAGTGGTACTTTCTGATCCAATGCTAGTTTAATCGTGGCTTATGCTGATACTCGGGATAGGATCTGCAGTTGTACGTAAACCATCATCTAAATCTTCGATCTTGCGCTTCTTGGTTGAAATTAAAAAACGTCTTATCTCACTCATAATAATATAGAACGGCGTACTTTTTTCTTTTAAAATAAATTTTTAACAAATACTTTATTAAACCTTTTTTTTTTATTAAACTGTAAAGTGGTTTCCTTTAAACTTTGCTTTCCTGAATTTATTTTCCTTGACATTTTTACTAACAACTGAATAAATCAATTATTCGCAATTTACAGGTGAAATTACATAACTATTATACAAATAAATGAACTTTTAGGAAAAAAACTTGTAGATATAGCCAGCCAGCTAAGCAAGCATAAATCAATGCTTTTTTTTAAAAACAAGGTTTGTAAACAAGAAACGGTACGTTTAAACAAGAAACGGTACGTTTAAGTTTAAACTAGAAGTATTTAGGCAGTTAGTAGCAAGAGCACTGAGAGATTCAATAAGAAGATATCTAACCCTTAGATTTAAATTAAAAGAAGAGAATAGTAAAAAAATAGAAAATTGTAAAAAAAATTTTAAATACCCACACATGAAAATGATAAATTAGGTGTTTTCTACTAAAAATTAATTATTTTACTTATTAGATTTAAGTTCCTCGGTAAATTTATCATAAGAATCAATTTTTTTTTTTTTTTTTTTTTTTAATGTCAAATGAAAGGGGATTTGCCATTTTAAACTAAGTAAACAATTTTTTAAATTTATTGCATTTAAATTATTTGCATACATGTTAATATATACCCTGCCCCCAAAAACAATATTTCATAATTTTAAACAAGAAAAATATGTTGCCGCGTAAAATATATAAATCAGTATAACTGACTGAGTCATTATTCAGTAATTACTGAGAGACAAAAAGTTACTGACCAGTCAGTCACAATTTTAAATGACTGAGTCATAAATAATAATCGTAGATTGGGCTCAGGTATTTAGTAGGTACATACATATAGAAAAACAGTTTTTGTTGCATGGTGGGGGGGGGGGGGGGGGGAGGTGTAGAAATAAAAAGTCTCTTCATGCACCCCCATGAATTAAATCCTGGCGGCGGTACTGATATATATATATATATAGTATATATATATATATATATATATATATATATATATATATATATATATATATATATACTATATATATAGTATATATATATATATATATGTATATATATATATATGTATATATATATATATATATATATATATATATATATATATATATATATATAATATATATAGTATATATATATATAGTATATATATATATAATATATATATATATATATGTATGTATATATATATATATATATATATATATATATATATATATATATATATATATATATATATATATATATATATATATGTATATGTATGTATATATATATATATATATATATATATATAATATATATATATATATATATGTATTTATGTATATATATATATATATATATATATATATATATATATACCCTTATATATATATATATATATATATATATATATATATATATATATATATATATATATATATATATATATATATATATATTAGGGTGATTCAGAATGAGAGAGTTTTTAAAATAAAAATACGTATCTCGTTAAATTTTGGTGTAAGTATATAGAAACTAGGTTTTAAAGCATGCCAGGCATTTTCTAACCGCTCTAAACCCTCCCGCAAAGCTCATTTTTGTGAAAAAAAAAGTCAACTTTTTTGTCAAAAGTTGTGACGTTTAGGGAGGGTCTAATAT